ATTTATCCATATGTGTTGCTTTATAGAGATTTGCCTTCGGGCTGGGTCTATTTTTTAAAAAAATTGGGTTCGGGCTGGGGTGGGCCTAATATTTTTAAAAAAATTCGATCTGGGTCTGATTGGGCCCTGGAATTTTTTTTGTATGTCTAAATTTATCAATTTTGTGCTAAATTTTTTATGTAAAATAAAAATATTTAATTTTATTTATAGAATAAGGCGTCATATAATATATATCTTTTATTTTGAATATATATAAAAATGAATTTCTATATTTGAATAAATTTTGGCCAAACCGGGCCTGTAGATTTTTTTAAAAAAAATTTCGCGGGCCGGGCCATCAATTCCAAAAATATTTTGGGGCTCGGCCCGGGCTTGAAAAATTAGGCCCGATGCATATCACATCTAATACTCGATCACAAAAATAATGGGTTCCATTCCCACACTAAATCGCTAAAATTAAAATTGCCATAAATATTCCAAATATTTTAGAAGCTCCAACAAGTAAAATAAATATTAAAATAATAAAATTATAAAAAAAATACATTCATATCTTAATATATAATTTACCTTATTTAATCAGGAGTTAGGTGATGTTACTGAATGCCTATTACTCTTATAAATATCAGATTACCTAATATTTTATTTTTTAAGGTTTCTAATGATTAATAAGGATATGCTAGTAACTTATCTTAATAGGAACTTCCTGAATAAATTTTTTACTTATTACTCCTATGAATATCTGATTCCCTAATATTTATTTTTGAAGGTTTTCAACGATTAATAAGGGTATTTTGGGCACTTGTTAGGAACTTCCTGAATAAATTTTTTTACCATAATTATTTTTAGTTATTACTCTTATAAATAATTGAATTTCTAATATTTTATTATTTTTGAAGGTTTCTAATGTTTAATATGGATATTTTTTTTATATTACTCTTATAGATATATCTGATTGCCTAATATATTTCTTCTTTGTTAAAAATATATTCTAATTTTATTAACCTTTGGTTATAATATTATGTTATTATATTTTTGTAATAAATTATTTTCATAAATCTTAACGTTTATTTTGTTTAACCTTTTTAGAATATTTTTAAATTTCATATTCTAATTAACTACATTAATATACCCAAAATTCTCTACGCCCTTCCTCGCCTATCTTCAAATGCAATGATTTTCTAGTTTCTCATGAAATCCAAATCAAGGGTCTCCCCGAAAATATATTGAGCATAAAATTTTATATTCATCCTGGTTACAGGCACCCTCCAGATCAAGTTAGGTAGTATTAGTATCCAATACCCGCTACAACTTTCTCCTTCTGCCTTTATCTCATCTCGTCTAGCTGCTCAAATTATTGTCAATAATGTATTCATCCTATAAATTCTAACCTATCCTAGGCCATTATCTTCGCAGCAAAAGCTTGTCCGCCCTCTGTCGTCCTGTGCCTCCAGCACAAAAAGACTGGGATGCTCCTTTGATCGCATATTATGTTGAATACCTCATTTCGAACAGGCCCTTTCAATAAAATTCCAATAAAATAATATTAAATGCAAACTCAGACTATGAATGGTTGAAGCCATCCTCAGTTCCAATCTTGGTCTCCTCATGACTGGCGAACAGCTACCTATATCCATAGCCCTTCGCCTTTGCTTAAATGCTGGTACCCTCCATTTGCATCGATTGTGGCCTTCCCATCGAAAAGCCCACTATCCCTTTCACTGCAAATTCTCCCGCGGACGATAACCCCGTCATAAATCCATCAACAACATTCTTCTAGCTGCCCCCAAAAAGTTAATATCCCATTGACCCTCGAACCAATGGGTCTTTCAAATGAATACGCCATTAGCCCCCCATGGTATATAGTGATCTGCATCGGCCTAATTTTTCAAGCCCGGCCCGAAGTATTTTTTAAAGTTTTACTTGCCAGGCCTGGCCCGAATTTATTTAAAATAGAAATTAATCTTTATTATTACACAAAATTAAAGATATATCGCCTGGTTTCTATAAATAAAATTAAATATTTTTATTTTACATAAAAAATTAAGCATAAAATTGATACATTTAAATATATTAAAAAAAAATTTCAATGGAAAGATCTGACCCGGCTCGAATTTTTCTAAAAAATATTAGGCCTGATTCAGCCCGGGTCCTACTTTTGCAGATCTTTAGTATATCCAGCTGACTTGGGACTATACTTATGTCGATTTTGCGGTAAAGTCCAACCCTTTCATTTATTGCCTTCGTAAAGGCAGAAATTAAAAAACAAATATGCTGACCTCACCAACATAGTGTCTTACCAATCTTTACCAATACCGTAGGCATGTTCTGAAGTGAGGCCCTCAATTTCATTAAAACCATAGGGAAAAAAATGAGACAGATTGGGGACTCCAAATCAATTATTTTACCTTCGTCAGCAGATTTCTCTCGAAATCTACGGGTCTAATTTTTTAAGCATTCACTCTTCTCTAGGGTGATATTTACCTTATTTAATATTTTTTAGTTCCCTTTAATGTTTTTCTTTATAAAATATATATATATATTTTTTTATATATAATTTTTAATATATTCTTATTTGTTTTTTAAAATTTTTTATTTAATATTGTTTGTATTTGTATTTAATATTTTTAAGGTTTTTATTTTTATGATGAATTAACATGTATAATAAAATTTTAAATTAAAAATAAAATTTAGAAAATAGAAAAAAGTAGTAGAAAATAAAAAAAAGTAGTAAATAATATTTTTTATATTATCTTACTAAAAATAAATATAACAATACTTCACAAAAAAAAACAAAAGTAATTATATATAATATAATTTAATATTTATGTAATATTATTATAAAAATATAATTTAATCGGAATAACGAGTATATACATATAATATTAAATGATTAATTAACTAAAAATGAGATTCTATCTAAAAATAAAAACAAATTTAAAGTTCTATCATACATCGCGGTTAGATTGACTATTTTATGATTTAATCTTTCATAAGTCCGATTTGCTAGCCGAACAATCGATCCATTATGAATCTGCGTTTAATATTTTTACTAGGACTTATACATATTAGGATGCGCACAGCTTGTTTTTCGTTTGAGCGTATGATGGAACCTCGAGGTGGTTATTAGTGTGGGCCCATCTACATAATAACCTAAATTAAATTTTGAAAAATAATTGAATATAATTATTTTAAGTTTTTATACCATGCCCATATTGTATGAGGGAATAACGCATTTTCTCCAAGCCACGTATGGTCCATATACTCCATAAAACGAAGTAAAGATTGATTGTGAGTTGCCATTGAAGAGCAAGATAAACGAACTTAGGCCATATGCTCCTCCTTGCAAAATGGTAAAGTTATCATTCGCCTAACAACTAATTGGACATTGGAATCGTTCAGATAGTATATCACTAAACCCAAAGCTTGACAGTTCCGCCATAATTGGAAATAATGAAAGAAGCATTCTAATTGTTTTAAATTAAAATAACATAAATTATAAATTTGATCGCCATATTTGGAAAAATCTAAGCGCCCATATACCTCCCCAAAATCTCTTTGTCGCATTGTAGGATTGAAGTAAATATTTTTATGGTACAAAAATTAATAATCCTAAATCGTTGAGTATGTGTCTCCCTTGATTTATCTGGAAAAAGAGCATATATCACCGTAATCATAACATTTTCTTACATTATATACAATGTATAGAGTTGACAATAAAATTTAGGAACTAAGATTTAATCAATTTTAGCATATCGTAGTCTCAAAAACCAATATTCTACTATTTTCAATAGGGATAAAAAATCTTTGAAATCTCTTAGTTGTCGCATACGCTATGGTTAATATTATATCATCAAATGAATGAGACATAGAAGGTCTATATTTTTCCAAACACCTATCAATATGGCATCCTAATTAATATAAATGGCGGGATTGCTTTTGGATAATTTCCGATATGAGATGATTCGTATATAGATGGCCATACTTTCATTTAACAGTACAGGCTGGTTTCGATATGATTAAATTGATGGAATCTTCTTCAACAATTTATATGGACGGAACTTTCTACATATTTTCTAGTTTATGTTATCAGCTATTTACATTGAATATGATATATCAAAATGTTATGATCAGAGACATACATTGAACTATTACGAATTATTATAAGTTTTTGTACCCCACAAAATATAAATTTCAATCCTACAATGAGCCAAACAGATTTTGAAACTATAACCCTATCTGCGCTTAAATTACTATTTCCAAATATAGTCGTCAAGGGTTGATTTATGTGTATTTTTCCAGGCTTTATGTCGGAAATGTCAAGCCTTGGGTTTTGAGAGACTACTTCCAATGTTTTTGTTATTAGACGGATGATGCTTTCTCATTTTTGCAAAGAGGAGCATATGGTACAAGTTCGTTTGTCCTGCTAATGGCAAATAACAATCCATCCCTATTTCGTTTATGGAATATATGGACTTCACATGGCTTGGTAACACTATTTCTTTTATACTATATGAGGTATAAAAACTTGAAATAAATATATTCAATCATTCTAATATTTTCCAATATTTAATTTAGGTATCGAGTAGAAAAGCCCACACTAATAACCACATCGAAGAATTCCCATGCCCTTAAGTGAGAAGCAAATAGTGCACATCCTAATTAAAATTTTGGTTGATAATCAAAATTCAAATGATGTCACGCTTATACAGATTCATATTGAATCGATTGTGCAGTGAAAAAATTGAAATTATGAAAGAATAACTAGTAAATTAGATAATCTAACATCTATGATGATAGAACTTTGGATGTAATTTTATTTTTAGTAAATTCTTAATTATCTCATGTATATTCGCGCAATTCTTAGTCACTTGGTTGGTCTTAATAAATTTACCTTTTATTTTTAAAATTATATAATTTTAGGAAATTGCATATTGATCGATGTATACCTATTCTCTATCTAAATTAAATTTTTTTAAATATTTATTTGACATCTTTACCAGAAAATTCTTTCAACCCTCACACCGATACTATTTTTCGTATAGAAGACGAAGGTGCTACCAGAGATGAAGGCCAAACGACTTACATATTTCCCGAAAATTTTAGAAGCAATTCTCCTTTAGTAGGTAACTTGGAATACAGTAAAAAAAAATATCACTATAGTAAACATCCTCTAGTTAAATCTCGTTATAGCGAACGAAATTTTAGGGTGTCCCACCAGAGGTACTATTTAGCCAATCCTTGATTTGATATTAATATTTTATGGACTAGAGGAGGACCTAGAGCCTCGGAATCGGGATGGGTTAGAGAGCACGCATATAAAATTGGCCCGGATCGACTTTTAAAAAATGGACCAGCTAAAAAATGCATATAAATTAAATTTCTCTCATTTATTCTAAAAACGATAATTGGAATGTTCTCTTGGAATTATGACATAAGCAATTGGTAATTTTTATTTTCTTTAACCTTAATAATCTTTTTTTCAATGGAAACTCTCGGGTCAGACTTAAGAAAGAATGAAAGAAAATCTTTTCGGATAAAATAAAATAAATTTTGAAGATTATTAGAAACGTTTAAATGGCAGAAAATTTGATAGAGGTAAACCTCCTTACAAAATCTATCCCTACCCCCATAAAAAGTTCCGCGGTCTTCGGCCGTGATTTTCGCCAAACCATCATGCTATAGTGATATTATTAAAAAGAATTTCATAATAAGCTACAATTTATATTCTCATAACAAAATTTTATTTACATCCTTTCAGGCCTATTTAGGCTAGAAAAAACAATTAAATCTCTAATTCTTGCTAATAATCAATAGGCAATTGATAAGCTGTTTGGGTCGGGATTGATCATTGAATGAGAAGAAAATATAATCTGGGAATTTTCAATAACTTTGGATTTTTGCTAATTATTAAATAAAGAATATAGTTTATAGTTAATAAAGAATATAGTTTATAATTAAAATTTATTTACCTATCGAAAATTTTATTTTTAATTATAATATTTAAAGTATTTTGCCAAAATTTTAAAGGATTTATTATATTTTTAGTGAAATTTGTATTTAAAATTAATCATATATGATTCTCTATACTTAGAAAATTAAAATTAACAAATAAGAATAATATTAATATTTGTGAAATTGTAAAATATTATGGAAATTAATAAGAAAGCTTAAAATTTAAAAAGAAAAAATTTATTATTTTTAATTATTTGTTAATTGACGATCAATTATTGAATTTAGAAAGAATATAATTCAAGTCAAAAACTACCTCCCCCCCCCCCCAAATGCCAATATATTTTGGAGACATTTGTCTCCTACCCACCCCGGCATGTAGGCATTGATTATTTGCAGGGCTTAGGTTTATTTTTTTAATGATAATTTTTTTTCTTTATTTTTATAGATGAAAAAAATAGATTTAATATTTTTGTCAAAAATAAAAATTATTTTAAAATGATACCTTCAAAAAATAAAGTATAATATTGGTCTCAAACCGATACTAATAATACATCTTTTTCTGGTGGGGCATATATATTTTTTTTGTTAACTCTGGTCAGAACTTGGAGAGATGGATTTCAATTTTAATATTTCGATGGACCTAGTACGAACACAATTTTTTTGATCTACCTTCCTTCCCTATGTGACTTATGAATAAAAAATCCCTGAACATTCACTATAGCGACGTTTTACTGTAGAGCACGTTTCATCTGGGGTGATATTTATAGTTTAGAATTTTTGGAATAAAATCTCGAATTAATATTTCTAATAGGGCACCTATTAAATTGATATTATACATATATGAAAAGGATTGTTCTTTATTATTACATTAATAGGGTTTTTGGAAAAAAAAATTGACAAATGAAAGTAGTGTTGTTAAACAGCTCGATTTGGGTCGATTTTTAAAAACGGTTAACTTAGTATTTTTTATTATGCAAGCCTGAAAATTTTGATCAGTGGCATAAAGGTTTATAAATCTATTAGCGAAATCTCAAGGCTTAGGTAATATTTACCTAGATAAAATATTGACTAAGCCGTTTTTAAAAATCGGCTCAAAACGAGCCGTTTAACAATAACAACACTGAATGATAGCCGAAAACTTTTTTATATAAATATTGAAGTATATATATAGCGTAACTATAAAATTCTAACATTGATAATAATATTGATTAGCTGATTCAAATAAAGTGGAAATCACGAACCCTGTTCACCCTACTTTTGATTCCTTGGGATTAAAGCTCAAAAAGGTCGCCAACGTACCACGAATAAATGAAGCTCAAACTAAATGTTTCCAATTGAAAGAAGTCATTGATAAGTTGGAACCTTTGCTTGGGGATACCTCACTCACTAATAAACCCAAAGACGACAACTGTGATATAATGGAGTTGATTAGCGGATTGGACTCTATTGACGAATGTTCTAAAAGGGTACATGATGCCCCCGCAAATAATACATCCAGCCAGAAGGCTGACACACAGGAGCATATCCCAAATTTGCTTTTGAATGGCCAGAAAAATCAGACGTCTTCTCAAGATGAAAAAACGATGAACGAGAATAGGGAATCTCGGTATTGGATTTCCCCTGAAGATTTTGAATGCCTTTACTATGGTTATGCTCATCATCAAAAAGTGTTCTATGAGCGGTTGACTGGCACCGGCAGTAAAACTGGACCAAGGTCTAGGCGCACACTCAAAAAGCCTAGGGAAATCTTAAATTACATAGATGAGCAAATAGCTTACCCCCTATTTACCGAATCGCAGAAATTTGAGGTTTCATTTTTACACGTATTAAAAAAAATTATATATTATTTTAAGATATTTTACATTTTTGTATTACTAGCTTCCCTTTTGCCCCTCTTATTTATATTATGTATATAAAGTTATTTTTCCAAGGCTTTTGGTAATTTTTCTTTCGTATACTACCGAAAATGACTTAATCATATTTATGGTCATGGCTGGCTTTTAAATGGTTGTTCTTTAATACTAGTTATCAATATATTTTGTGGTTAATTTTAAATATCTCAAAAAAATGAATAGAAAAAGGGTATTTAATCCCTAGCCGACCAAAAAAACAATTATAGCATATCCTACACCAATATAGATAGTTAAATTATTTATTAGTTGACATATAGATACGAGTTTTTCTGTCAAATTAAGTTTGTCTAAGAAGCATTCAAACTTATTTGTATTGTTTACGTCCAACCGATTAGTTAATTTTTCTCATGCAATTAGTGATGCAAAATCTCCATTTGATTCGATTTTTATATACGGCTAACTTAGTATTTTTATCTAGAAAAATATTACGCAAGCCTGAAGATTTTGCTCATGGATGACACAAAGATTTGGACATCCATTAGAGAAATACAAAGGCCTGACTAAAATATTGAGTTAGCCCTTTTTAAACTAAAATCGAGCCATTTTACACTAGGTGCAGCCAGCCCCACTTATGCAATCTTAAAATTATATTATCACAATTAATCATTTAATAATGGTACTAATATTTGTTTAGTGCCCTAAAAGTTTTCCCAATGATAAAAATCATATTTTTGAATATACCCGGGGCAGACGTTAAATTTTATTTAAAAAATGCCTTGGCCGGACAGCCATTATTAGCTATAAAAAATAAATGTAATATGTTTTAAAAAAATCCCTGCCGGGCCGTGAAAATGGTATCTCTGCATGTCTGATAAAAATCTATTATTTGTTTTCATTTCCGATTCATTTTCATTTTTTCGAATGTAATAATATAATAATCTATATTTTATATGTAAGTTTTTAGAAAAAGTGGGAATTTTAGTCAAATGCCAGGATTCCGAAAATATTACCCCTAACCCAGCTAGAATTGTGTATAAGCTAGAAAGTTCGGTAAAATCTGTCCTCAAAAAAGCTGCTGATGCTTGGAAAACACATAATAATTATTCTGGTGACCGAGTTATTAATCAGGTCATGAACGGGTTTGGACTAGCATTTTAGGAATAAATTAATAAAAATTGTTTCAAATTTTTTTTACTCTAATTTTTTAACAAGTTTCATAGATTATAATTTTAAATTACATTACATTTTGTTACATATTATAGGATAAAAAATTTCAAATTAATATTATAAAATATATTATTTTTTTACAATCAATATTAAATACATATTCCAAAAATTTATATTTTTAATCATTGATGTAATTATAAAATATAAAACTTATGTTCAATGTGTTTAATCTCAATGCCCCCCCCTCCGCAGTTTTTTGAATATAATGGTCAATCATATTACTATAAAGAATTAATGTATAAGTATTTTCATCAATTCGATTTTAATTACTCTAAAATATAATACCATTCATTAGTAATTTTATATTCTTTAAGCAATTTTTTATAGTTCAATATTAATAAATTAATAGAGGAGCATTGATGCCATTTTTGAGACAGATCTTATTTTTGATATTGAGGTTGAATCGGTCAATCACCAATCCTACATACCATTTTAATTTTTTTTCAATGGTCTTTTCTTGTTTTTATCTGATGAAATAGAATAAAAATTTTTAAAAGTATTATTTATTTTAGTTTGATTAAAAATCTGCCCAATAAACATCCTAAAAAGGAAATTTCATTGGTTGCATATCTGCAACTTGTATAAAAATAAAAAAATATGATATTGAAATCTTAGTAATTCTCGTATTGCCAATATAAAAAAAATATATATAAGACTCATTCTAAGATAACATAGGATCTTATAAGATTGGGGTAAATAGCCATAGGTATTGACTGGCCATCCCCTCTAATGTTTTATTTAAGGGATTATTTTTTCTGAAAATTTCTTCAGATATGTATTGTTTTGAGGCTTGTTAATCGATCCTTTTATAAAAATCGAATCCCGATCACGATCTTTTCAAAAAAAGAGGATCGAAATCCAGGATCGACCTTTTTTTAAAAGAAGGATCGCTATCACGTTCCTTTTTTTATTTAAATTTCTGATCGATGCAAAATTAACTAATATAAATATAAATTAAATATGGTATAAATTTATTGTAATTGAATAATATAATATAAATATAAAAATTAGAATATATTTATTTATTATTAAAATTAGCCTCAGGAGTGCTTGATGGCAAAGGTCTGTTATATTCAATAAATATTTTTTTTAAATTAACACAAGTATTAAAAAATTCATTGAATCATCATTTGAAAAAAAAGATATTAATGGACGAGCTTTTATGAAGAATTTTAAAAAATTATCTATTCCATCCTTACTTTCATTTGAAGCATCTGCATGTGGTTGATCCTGGATATTTTCCAAATGGGTTATTAGCCTTTCTTTTACCAACAGATTTTGTAGCAGATTAATATAAGGCCAATTTAGCTTAAATTTTGGGTGAATTATAGCTGCCAATATGTTACTGTCATCATATGAAGGAAATAATTAATTATTAAAGTGTTCGTTCATATAAATCAGGTATCTCAAAACTTACCCCTTATTAACACATCTATAGATATTTTATTAATTATTGTAAATAATTCTTATTCTATGCATATTGTTGCTTTTCATATAAATAATAAAACTGTATTTTTAAAAGAATTAATTACTTCTAAATGCTTCTTGAGGTTTGAACTACTAATCTTTGAAGAAGATATTTTGTTCTTACATAAAGAGCATTTTGTACTGATCATTGTATAGTTACTTCCATCCATTTCAGATAAAGTAAAATACTTAACTTACATAAATTATGAAATGGTAAAAGATTCTCACTTATATCTGATGTCACATCAATAGTAGATGTATTATCTTCTAAATCTATAATGGAGGAAATTATTAAAATCTAGAATTTATTTATATAATATAATAAATTAAATAAAACTTGTAGGCTCTAGATCTCGTTCTAGATAAAATTTAGGAAATTGTTGTAATATAAAATATGGTGGAATGGAAGTTGAATAAAATATGATATATATATATTTTTTTAAAAAAATAATATTTTAATTTTTTATTTTATTTATTGCTTTTTAAGTAAAAAAATAATCTTTAAAAGGATCGGGATGGAAAATTTTTAAAAAATGATCACGATCCTCACTTTAAGTCAGGATCATAAATCCGGGAAAATGGATAAATTTTGGATCGAATCCAGGATCGGCGATCTTTTGATTCGATCCTTTAACAACTGATTGTTTTATACCATGTGCCTACGTATGCTCATTTATTAATCCAAAAATGGCTGTTAGCTGAGTATGGCTTGACCTATTATACAGATCTCTAAAATATCTATATCTAATTTTTTCCCAGTACATTACTATTTTTCTAAAATTGGAACGAAAATTTCGCTCTACATTTTTTGCTTTGCTAATTTACTCCTTCAAATTTATATTTAGATAAAATCCTAAAACTTTAATGTTATATAAAAACCATTTAATAAAAGTTAGGAAGGCAAAACTTGAATAGGGGAAGTTGCCATATCAGCATTTAAATCTTATCTTTATTAAGATTTAAATGATTATTATTCTTATATATATATATTTAAAATATTTGTATTTTTAATGTTTATAAAGTCAACATAATTAATTTAAGCCAAAATTTGAACCAATAGTAGTATCAATTCAGATAAACCTAACAGTTCAGGTTGGATAAGTTCAAAGAATATATTCTTATTTTATAGCATATATAATTAAAATAAAATAGCATGGCCATTTAACATCATGCTAGTGCTAAGTGCCCTCAAAAATAATCTAGCTAAATCTTTTTTATTGGATATAGCTTTGATTCTAACTATATTTTATAGATTAATATCATATTCTTATTAAAAAGAAAGTTTCCCCTGCTGGAATACATTTTTCAGTAAAATCTATCTTTTCCAAATTTTAAGAAACGCTCTTAATATTAGTAAATCATTGTGCTAGTATTTGTAACTAAATATTAATGAAAATTATTTTATCTATAAATTTAAATTAGGGATGTAGCGATACCACATTTTGGAGGCCGATCCGATATTAAATTGATATCGGTTGATTACCGATCCTATATCTTCTTATTTTGAAACATACTAATCGTTTTAATTTTTAATGCATACATCTAATTTTGCAAAATAGCGATATTTGTTCCAATTTTCTAAAAACGGCTAATTCTGTATTTTACCTTGAAAAATATTACACAAGCCTGAAGATTTTGTTCATAAATGTCACGCAATATTAGGATTTCGGGGCTTAGGCAATATTTCTCTGGCTAAAATATAGCCGTTTTATAAATTGACTCAAATGGAGCTATTTTGCATCATTACATACATCTACTCACATCCGATATAAAATATCGGTACATCCCTAATTTAAATATCTAATCAAGTAATAAAAAATCAAAATATTTTAAAATTTGAAAAATTACTGTATAAAAAATTAAAAGGGTTACTTATGGTTTTAAATTACAATTTATATATAGCAACAGTTTTAGTAAAATTATATCGTTTTTCGTTCTTTTTAATGAGCTGGTATAAAGATTCGGTTATGGTTTAGAAAATTATAAAGGTTCATTTCGGTATAACGGTTAGGTTCTATCCGAATGTCTGGTTTTAAGTTTATCTTTAAAAAATTATGGTAACAAGAAGGCCAAAATATTTTACAAAATAAAAAGTATAATGCTATGTTCATCTTTTTTAAAAAATTTGAAAAGTTTTTAAAACTTTCAGAATTATAAATTTAATGAAATCGCATGTTAATTTGAAAATTTCTAGGACACGTTTTTATTTTTATATTTAAAAAAAGCTTATTTCTTCTTTTCGATAAAGTGTCAAAAGTTTGCGAATCGAATTTTTTTAATTTTGGAAACAGTCTAAACGAGGCCTGAAATGGAAGAGCTTTTAGCCAATAAGCTCGCCCACTCATTTGGAAATTTTTTAATCCGGCTCGCCCGCCGACTTACAGTTTTTTTTTTAAATGTACCCGCCCACGCATCTATAAATTTTGTTTACCAGACATCCGCCTAATGTTTAAAAATATTTTAACGGCTGGTTTGTCTCTTTATTTTAATGCATTTTTAATTAAACATATAATATGCAATATTATGAAATAAAACTATTATTTTTAATAATTTGAAGTCTGTTCTGCTTATCTGAAAAATATTAAAAATTCACCTGCCCACATAACTTAAAATTTTTAATTGCCCGCCACCGTCCAATAAAATATTTTAGAAAATCCAACTACGCCCGTTCAAAGTATGGGCGGGTAGGTAAATATTCGCCCAATGCAGACCATTAGTCTAAACAAAACAAGTGTAAAAAATCCATGATCCAATAACTATTGGCCGATAAATAATTTCTATTTTACAGAAAAAGGTTATATCAGTTTTATTTCTATGTTTTGCGTAAAAACATACATATAAATATATAATGTAATATGTATAAAGTTGTTTTAAATATTAATTTTGAGTAATGTTTATAGTTTATTCTAACTAAAACATTTTTACACTTTAATATAAAAATGTATTATTTTAATACTACATGTTGAATAAATAGATAATTTAATTTAAAAAATAAATTTGTTCTAAAAAAATATCACAATCGTTTTTTATATTATTATAATTTATTTTAAATTTAATTTAATATATTATATTATAATATAAATAAACGTTAAAGCTTAAGCGGATTAAAAATGTGATCGGATAAATATAATATCCATTTATTTTATTTTAAAAAACCCTTATTTTGATTAATTTCCCAATTCTCATAAAATCTTTCAAACTATAAAGATTGCAGCTGCAGCACACGAATGATCACATATTGAAGAGTGGTGTTCAAATTCCAAAATCGATCAAATTCTTCCCAATTAATTTAATTAGACAAATATGGCGCGGGCTCATTAATCCAAAAATATCTCGGTGCCTTGTTATGATTAAATAAATGTTCAGAATCGCTATCGTCTTCGTTTACCCCATTTTCATCGATTTTAATCTTGTCACTGTTTTCTGTTTTTCGAACAAGATTTTTATCAAAACCCTTTTTAGGGCACCTCATATTTTCGTCGCACGTAGACATACCGTTAATGAGACAGTTGAGGGAGGATGCGTTGGTTATACAAGAGGATATGTTTGTATCTTCACTACTACTTATACTACGAACAGAACTTTTAGAAGTTTTTAAACCTTTTGTATTCTCTTTGTTGGTTTTATTATGAATAGAATTTGTTAAAGAACTATTCGCGGTGGATAAACCCTGAATGAAGTTGGCCGAATAACAATTATCACACAGTCTTATTAGAGTATCTGGTCGTGAGTTGCTTAAAAATATGTTAATTAATTTTTACAAAATATTTTTTGAAACATATAATACAATAAACCTCTTTATAGTTTATCAGTCCAGAAACATATCTAACATAGTATTAAATAATTTGGTCATAGCTAATTTTGAATTATTTTATGGTAATCTTATTTTAATTTAATATACTTTTCTATTTTAGATATCCCAAAAAGGCACTATTTGCAAAGAATATTTGAATTTATTATACATTATATTATTTGTGATAGAAATAGAATCTAATGAAAAAATTGTTTTAATCTAAATTATATAAAAAGTGTCGTTCTATATATGGTATAATTTGTAGTTAATTAAATTTTATGTCCCATTGGAGGACCATAACGAGATTTTTCTGCATACAAATATTGTGATATAAATTTGATGAAAGTTTATAAAATTAATTATACTGATATTATTAGCGCAGATATAAGTCTTATGAAATAAAATAAATATTTACTCCGAGTAGGGGACCCAATTATTAACGCAATAATGACAAAATGTAGATTGACATTTGTGGCATTTATGGGGTCTCTTCATGATGAAACCGAAATCTTTACCACAATTGGCGCATGATGTTTGTTCTTTACTGTTGCTCATTTGATTTTCATCAACGATTATCGTATTTTGTCGAGCACTGTTATTGGTTAAGGAAGAATACATTTTCGTGGGAGATATGTAATTGGACAAATAGTAAGAGGAAAGGTCATAGAGAGAATTCGATGTTTTGGCGCTATGATTATTCGAGTTATTTTTAAAGGGTTTGTTTTCGTCTAAGTGTAATGTATCATTACCAGGTTTGTTATTATTATTGTTTTCGAGATCTCGGGCTAGTCTCCATAAGGCATCCTTTTCTCTTACAGGGAAAAAAATATTTATATATTTTATATAAATTATGTTCATCAATCAGCTTAATTTTTTTTTAAAAAAAGGCCTTAATTACGTGGTTTCGAGTTAAAAAAATTAAAAAATTTCTGAGGATAATCTGAAGATTTTTTTAGCCCACAAAAGTCTTTGAAAAAAAGCTCATTTAAAATTCAAAAAAGTAAATCTTTTGTGATTCTATGCGTAAAAGATCTTTATTTTTGAAAAACTAGACTAGATTAATTTGGGATTTTTTATTTCTTTTTATTCCCCCATATTTCTAGGTTTAACATATTTTGAATTATTTTTAAAATAAACTTTATAAATTTCAAAAGTGTTCGTTTTAGATCTCTGTTATCCTTCTCAAGCGATTTAGCTTCTTTAGTCAAACTTCTTTTGATCGAATAATTTTTGGCCTCCAATTCGTTACATTTTGCTTTGATAATTTCGTTATTCTTGTCGCTTTCTAACAACATCTTAATTAATTCGGCATTTTTGCTTTTGAGCTCATAGCATTCCGAGGCAGTATCGGTTAAGTGTTCGGTCAAGTTTTTTAACTTTTATATGCAATTTAAAAAAATTTAATTCATCAATAAAATTGGATTTCGCCTTGTATAGAGGACTTGAAATATTGCATATTTTTCGTTTCTATCGGTTCACTTAAAATAAAATTTAAAAAATACTTCATTCACTTCCGATGATCTTAATTTTTAGGAAGGTTCTGGAACATAAAATTAGATTCTTTTAAGAATTTTTTTAAAGATAAAGCGAACCCACACCCCTCTCCCCAATATAATTAAACAACTATTTTTCGTTTTTAGTAATTTTTTTTAAATCGTGTTCCGTTCAATGATATTCATTAACCTATATTGACTATTTATTCTGTAAATGTATACATAGTATTGTAGACGTCATTATGTGGTCGGCATGTAGACCAATGACATATATCGCTTAACATTTCATCAAAGTGCTCACTACAAAATGGCGTCTACAGTTGGCGCCTATGTATTAAATTCATTTTATTGAATCGTGAGTCTATGATTCCGTTTCTTTAAAATCTGGAGCATTCCGTCTGTAATATTCTTGTTGCTTTTCGTTTTAATCTACTTACATATCAACAAAATAATATTTTTAATATAAAATTGTAGACCTTAATAATCTTTCCCTATTAGAATCACCCCCTATTAAACATTCCTCCATCGGAGGTATCATTATCAAAATTTTTTAACAATATCTTTAACATATAACTTTTTAAAATATACTCTCAGTTTACCAGAACCTCATTACTCGTAAATGCCTATATATTCCAAAATTCTACATTTATTTCGCTCCTCCTCGTTTTTACTTTTTAAAGATTTAGTAGAGATTTTGGTAACACTTTTTAAATCTTTCCTGAAAAATTATTTAAATCTAAATTTAACCATGCTCAACTGGAAAATAGCCCGTACCTAGGGCATAACTTAATATCTTTCCTTACCCTGCCCCTTCCCTGTCTCTCAATTTAACAAATAATTCATTAATATCTAGTTTCATATCTCCCAATAATAACTTATTAGATGAAACTCTTACAATGTGGCAAGACATTATCTCTCCTGATACATATTTTCCCATAATAATATTTTTTCACCCCTAATATCAAAATTTTACTAATTTATCTTCCTCTTCATCCCTTGAAGACATTCAATTTTTTTTAAATGAAGATAAAATGGGGCCATAAATGGTTAAAACCCTTAATTAATGAACAAGTGACCTCCTAGTAAACACCAAGGGAAGACATGGTCTTAATTGCATTTAAAATATAGGGTCGACATAAGACACTCTTCGATAAATAAATTATTAAGTCTCCTTTAAAAAAAGGCTCGTGTAAATATTCCAGAACCTTGATATCTTTCAACAGATGACGGCCTAAGACCTGGCGGCTTGACCACTATCGCCTGGACACATCCCTTATTTGGGATTACACATGTCATGCTTCCCCACCAATATAAATAGCAACCTACTTACTATAGAAAAGATTAATAAAATAATACAAAAGCCTCAGCAATTTCATATTCTCGTCAATTGCAACTTCTACCAACGGACAGTTTGCTCCTATCACCTTTAGTTTTTTTAAAAAATTTAGCTCACAAAATAAAATTACAAACACTTGAACCTAGGGAATTCTTATTCCTTAGGTAGAACATATAAATCAGAGACCTGCAGGGCCGGGTAAATGGGCAGGGTCGTATTTTAATTTTTTTAAATATACCCGAGCCGGGCCTAAAAATTTTTTTTTAAAAAAAAATACTCGGGCAGGGCCTGAAAATTTTTTCAAAAAAATATCCAGGCCGGGTCATATATTTTAAAACCAAATATTTGAAAACACCATTATTAGCTATAAAAATCAAAATAAATATAATATATTTTAAAAAATCAGGGCCGGATCTGAAATTTTTATTAAAAAATCTGGGCCATGTCTGAGTTCTTTTTTAAAAAAAGCCGAGCCGGGCAGGGAGAATGGTACCTCTACAGGTCTCTGATATAAATAAACATTTTTAAATTTAACTATTGTTCCTTTTTAGGAACCCAATTATGTTTTTCTTAAAATTATTTTGGCTATAAATTTTTTTAATTCTTTTTTTATATAGCCTCATGCGTGTAATACTTTTTAGTTTTATACAACTTTATATATTTATTATATATTAGAAATAAATTAATCTTTTAAAATAAGTATTTATTTATCCTAAAAAAAACATAATAATTTCTAACTTAAAAACATTTCCCTTAAATTAAATTTTTAATGCTTCTAAATGTACAAAATAAATCCCGAAGATGAAAAAAGAGTACTTCGTAAAGAAACTGTTCATCATCCGTATCCCTCGATAGCCTAAGCTCACTTATTTCCGCTTCCATCTTGGTCATGAAATTTTCTTGAAAGGCCAAGTTATGGTTTAACCCGCGAACTCTTTCAATTTTCTCGGAAGTCGAATTTTCGTCCAAGAAGAAATCTGTAGGAGATCTGCTACCAGTTGTTTCATTTCCAATCTTATTATCGGATAGGGTGTTAAAATGATTGGAATTGTTGTTATTAGGGAGAATATTTTCGTTTTCATCAAGTTCTAAAAGTTCCTAAAAATAACAATTTATTCAGGGGTAAAATAATAGATGAGTAAAATGTTTATTTGCCCCTTCACCCCTTTCCCACAAACACACAGAAATAAACCATTTTAAAAAAATGATGGAGATTTAAAAATTAAATAATTTAAATATTTACATCGAACAAACTCTTCCGGCCTTCCTCGTTGGAAGAGGAATCAAAAATATCCAGATGGTATGGTTGTTGGGAAATCGAATCCACTACCAATATATCGTTTGTCGGAGTTGATGCTTTAAGTGGATTAGTAGTTATTCCGGACGCGTCCTTTTGAGAGGTTAAGAGGATGACAATTTTATCCAAAAGAGTATCGCATTCCTCTCGAAAATTATAGTTCGCGTTTGATTCACTTCTTAAGATAAAAATTTCTATATAAACATGTAACCATAATATTTTAATAAATCAATATTTTAATTTTAATTACTACTTATTGTGATCTAACACTTAAAACTAAATTAGAAGAAATTTTGGCCCGAGTTGAGGATTTAAAAATATTTTAAAATATGGGGTCAAACTTTTTCGTATTCGTCCTTTTTATATATGCCAAATTATACATATTTATTTTTTACAAAAATTTGTTTCTCAGGGAATCTTAGGGTGGAATTTAATCGTTTCTGTTTAGTAAACGATGAGAGGAAAGTTACCTAATGTTATTCGTTTTAAATGGGATATGTATGACGGATCCTTACAATTCATACATTATATTATAGTCTTATACAAAATATCAAATAATATTATTTTATTTTTGTTTAAATTTATTATTACATAAAACAATGGCAGGCTTGCAAAATCATTGTTAAATATCTCAGCAATAAATCTCCAATGTTATTGTCACTAACGGTCCCTTTCCCAAAAACGTCCAACGTTTTCAATCGATCCAAGGCATGATTAATATGCTCATTCAATGAGGTCTTAATTCGAAATCTCTTTTTATTTTCCGATTTTTCCAGATCTTTAGAACCCGGATTCCCTAAACTATTATATTGATATTTTTTTTCGCGAATCACATAGTTTTTTGTATCATTAAAATTTAGTTCTGACCCATCATAGCGAATGAGAGATATGGAATCAGCACTGTGATACTTACGTATCTGATTGCGTTTATCAGGAAATTGGGGTTTAATATTAGGCAGAGAGATCTTATCGTTAGAAGAAGGAAACTCTAAATGACTGTTGAGCTGTGATAACTTGGTCATGAGTCTCTTTAATTTAACAAATATTGAAGGGTCTTCCATGCTATCGAGTATATTTGAATCGTTTTTGATATTTTGTATTTGGGTTAGGTAATTTTCAATGAAGTTCTCTATCATGAATAATAGGTCTTCCAAATCACAGGAGTTGTTGGAAGTGTTTGATTTATATTGAGTTGGTTGATCGCAGTATGATACAACGTCTTCCGCCTAATATCATGGATGTAAAATGTTAATGGGGAAGGAGATTTTATAATAGTGCCCACAAATTATGCGTTTCAAACGCATATAATGTATTTCAAGGTGGTATCGTATGAACTGGTCAAATTAATGTATGATGTTAGAAAAAAATGCAAACTGGTTTGCTGTTTTAAATCTTTTTTATTTATTCATCTTGTGTGTTGAACTACGACTCGTTCTTTAATTACTCAATTTATTTGCAAAAAAGTCAAAATCTTAGCACCCAGATAAGAATAAAGGGGGGGGGGCACTAAAAATCCTTAGATGTTAAATTAAATTTATATAAAATGTTAAAAAAAATTACTCATCTTTTAGAATGAAATATTTAGGAATTAATGAAATAAAAAGGCAGACGATATTATATTTTACTAAAACCAATTCTTTTTTATAACTTAGTTAAAATTTTGAATAGACGATACTAATAAAAAAAAGCAACATCAATTTAAACAAGGAATGCATTGTTTTTATTATTAAATAGGGCGCAACGCTCAATTTGTGCACACTATAAGACATGGTAAAAAATAAATAAAGCGTGATTATAATATTTCAAAGATTTTTATTTTATTATTTTAAATTGGAAAACATATTCATAATTAACCCTTTATAGAAGAGGTTAAAAAGAATAAAACGAAAGTATAAAGGGGTTAAATTAAATATATGTAATGTATATTAAATAAACTCGAATAAGGTAACTTTAAAATGTTACAATATAATATAAAAAAATTTAAATAAAATTGATGTATAAAAATGTTTATTTATGCTTAATATATCAATCAAATGGGATGGGGTCTATACAGACCCAAAGCTCCAAAAATCCATTATAACTCATGAATCACCGAACAAATAAAAATTAATTTTGCATATATGCACTTTACCTAAAAATATAAATATTAAGCTTAGAGATCTCCAAAAGTAGGGTTCGGGCTGAGCTGGGCCTAATATTTTTTTATAAAGTTCGGGCCGAGCCGGGTCGGGCTCTGGAATTTTTTTTTAATATATCTAAATTTATCAATTCTATGTTGAATTTTTAATGTAAAATAAAAATATTAGATTTTATTTATAAAAACTAGACGCCATATAACATATATCATTTATTTTGAGTAATTATAAATAAAAATTAATTTCTATATTTAAATAAATTCGGGCCGGAAAAACTTTTTAAAAATAATTTCAGGCCGGGCCGGGCTTGAAAAATTAGGCCCGATGCAGATCACTAATTAAGCTACTAAAAGATCAGCCAAAAATATAGAAAGAGAGTAATAGCATTTTTTTTAAAATGATTGGGGTCTGCATAAAAATTTAAATCCTTCACCGTCAAAATTTCAATTAAAAAAATATATATTTAGTCTATTATATTACACATATTTATATTTTTTATTTAGCAGAGATGCAATTCCTTTTTTTAGTATACCGTAATCAACACAGTGGCTAATACTAAAAAAAAATTCGCAGAAATGGAACAGATACCAACACCAATGCCGATGCCAAAAATATAATAATGAAATATTATTAAAACAATATCCATTCATCATTTATCATCATTTATAATTATCTTATGAAATTTATATTATGTAAGTTAAAAGGAAATAAAAATCAAAAACTGAGATTTGCATTTTGCGGTTTCACCCGGTGCAAAAATTAGAAGTGATAGTACTGTATTGTATGGGTTGATCATTAATAAAATATAATACAATATCTACTGATCAGGCAATTATTTTTTATTTTAATCATATTTATTTACAGATTCTATGAACATTAAATCTCAATATTGATAGTAACCATCAAAACTTACACTAAAAAATTTAAACTTAAAATCAGCCATCACCAACCTTTAAAGTAATATAAATTATACTGTAGTTCTCGGGTATAGGCTCTTTTTTTTGCCCCACTCCTTTTTAATAAGCCTATAGAGGTAAGCAACATTTTTCGGAATGTTGTTGTGCCTACAAGTACATGCGGCTTGACCACACGTGTGAAGGGCTCCTCATATTTTTACTTTTAGGCCAAAATAAATTTGTTCCAATTAGATGGAAATGAGGAAAACCTAGCGTAGCTCTGTTGAACCTTCAACGCTAAAGGGTAAAAGCGCTATAAGCACATTCTTTTCTTTCATTAGGGTTCAGAAAAATTTTCCTTTTTATAGATTCAGAGCTTAGTGTAGGCTAAAAAAAATAATTTAAATGATAGAATATTTGTGTATTGGCTAGTGTTGTTAAACGGCTCGATTTAAGCCGATTTTTAAAAATGGCGAACTCAATATTTTATCCAGAAAAAATATAACGCAACCTTGTAGATTTTGCTTAGGGTTTGGACATTTATTATCGAAATCTAGAGACTTAGATAATATTTTTCTGGTTAAAATATTGAGTGCGTCGTTTAAAACACTGGTATTGGCCATTAAGGTTCCTAAAGATTCGAGATTTGAATCCTAAAATTTTAGCTATGTCAAAAAAAAAATTTTTTAAATAAATTGTCAGTATATTTATTTCAAAAATTTTTTTCCGGTCAATTGTTTCTTTATTTGAGCAAATTTAACTAATAACATATTTTTTCACTAAAAGAATATGGCTTTAATTTATTTACATATTTATCTTTAATTCGATATGTTAGGGATATTAACTTAAAAATATTAACATCACCTAACCTTCCAATGGATTTTGTGATTCATCGAATAATTTGGATCTAATTTTAGTGCAAAAGTTTGCAGTACACTGAGAAAACACTTTCAGAATTTATTGAAGTTGGTATGGTATTATTGTACAATATTTGAACATTTTCTGTATGCTTTCCAATACTGTCTAAATTTAGATAAAATTAAGTTTTTCTTGTGGCTCATTTTTCGTATCATTTATTATCATGTTCAATTCTTACATAGTCAGTTCTCGTGTCGATCAAACCATTTTCTTGGAAAACACTATCACTATTTGCAACCATGGAATTGGTATAACCATCTGTCTCAAAGAGTGTTTTAATTTTGATTGCTAAATTTAATGTTTGTTGACAGAATCATATTCGTATCTTTAAAGGCACTTAGATAAATTAATTAAAATTGGGTTCATGTGTTCCTCGATGCATTATGTAATATTATTTAGTAAATCAATACTAAATTGGCTTTTAGATTCTACGAGCTTATTCTTCGTAGAATTAATAGCGAGATCAGCTGGAAATCAATAAAGCATCTGCTTAGCTAAAAGTTTCAATAACTAATTTAATTAGCTTATGAACATTCTTCAAATCGGCTAGTAATTGAAAATTAAACGTTATCTAACAAATTGATGGCAATTAAGTTTAAGAACTTCCACAACGAATTCATGAAGCTTAAAAAAATATCAATCATAATCACCTTTTACTTCCATCAGGAATTCTAAGTCATTTAATGTCTGTTTAGGCAAAACGGTATTCGTATTTTTAGGGAACTTCTAGAAATTGATTAAAATTGTCAAACGCTCTTACATCAAATCTCAAATCCCTACTAAAAGATTCGTAAAGTCCATCTATAGATTTGGTTTCATAAACTTATCAATGTTAATTCTCATTGGGTATCAGCTAATGGTATTGCTTAAAATTGAATGCAGCAACTGAAAGCAATATAAACCAATACCAAGTGGTACATCTCTGATATTTAGCGTTGGCAAATTGTTGAATGGCTCAGCCTCAAAACATGAAACTATTCTTTTTGGCTAAAAATTTGCTACAGTTTTGGAATAGGTTTGAGCAGAACATTTATCAACACCAATTACGTTTAAATGATTTAATCAAAAAATAATGCTATGCCGGTTCAAAAATATTCACCAATTTGATTTGATATTTCATAATATGATAATGATACAATATTTTTATTGATTCTTAATTACCATCAATCTTTAACCAATGTCATAAATAAAATAATCTAATAAAAACCCAAGTAATTTCATAAATGTTAAGTATATTTTGCTTTTTTTATTCACCAGAAGTAATTTATCTCATTTAAAATAGGGCAATGTTTATAGCTGAATGTAGTGTTGCTAAATGGCTCGTTTTAGCTGATTTTTAAAAATGACTAGATTAAGAGCCAAAAAAAATTACTTAAGCCTCAAAATTTTGCCAATAGATATCCAAACCTGTCATCTATGAGCAAAATTTCCAAGCTTGGGTATTTTTATTTTGGCAAAACTCTTGGGTTAGCCATTTTGAAAAATCTGCTAAGCCAGCATACTAGCTGAATGTGATTGGTTATATAAGTTTAAACCCTTTTCTTATTGCATAGCTATATTATCTTTTAAATAATTAGATTTTTTTAAAAACATTACAAATAAATTGAATTTTGGTTCCTAATATAATAATGAAAATAAAAAATCACTCAGAAAATAACTCAAAACAAAAATATTGAATTTTACCATTTTTTTAAAATAATATTAGCCTATGCTGATATATAAAAAATATGATGAAAAAATTTAATTAGTAAGGTAAGTCTTATTTAATATTATCAAAATTGGCAATACATTCTCAATTATAGTTGTTTTCTCCTGTCCTTTGTAAGTTTTGTGTAATAATATTTTGTCAAAATGTTTTTGTTCATAAAATGGTTTAGATGGACTGAAAAGGTTTTTGATATATTCTGGAAGTGGTGGAAAATCTGTCAATTCAGGCATATAATTTGAGCCACTAAAATATAAAGATTTTAAATATTAAATAAAAAGGATAGGATTATTTTAATAAAAATAATTATACTGGGGTGAAATAGATGATTGGAAAGAAGATAATGAAAGTGAATTTGAAGATTTTATTAATTTATTGCTTCCATATTGATATTCTTTTGATAATGTTTCAAACTGATCTAAACATTCCATGTTTCTTAATATAAAATTAATATCATTTAATGAATATAGGCTGTCTATCAGAAAAGCCACATTATAAGATTTCATAAGTGGACAATCTTGATTATAATATTTCATTAGGCATCCCTTATTAGCAATTGTACAATGCTGAATAGTATCTGCTAATTGGTGATTAATCAAAATATATCGCAAAAATAATCGTGTTTTATTTATGTCAGATGCTTGCTTTAATAAATTATAGTATTAATATATGCTTAATTATGTTATTATATAAATAAAATAAACCTTGTTAGTTTTAATGACATAAAAAATCCCATCTTGTAAAGCTCTATTGATTGATAAACTTTCAACTAAAAATCTCCAAAATGAAGAATGATCTCCAAACATAATTTTATTTTCTAATTATTTATATTATCCATAATATCTAAAAATAATAAAATTACGTTTTAAATCTCGTTCAAGAATATGTTCTAATTTGATAAAAAATGTTGAAATATATTGAGATGTTTCTTCTTTAATAAAATTTTCATTTGATTGTGCTTCCAATTTTATGGAATTAGTAATTTCTGCAATATTTGATAATAATTTAAAATAATAAAAATTATAAGATACCAATAAGTTCTTTTATGTTACAATTGACTTCTTTTGGCATTGATAAAATCATATGGAGTCAGGATTGAGAAATTGGATAGATGTGTTTTGAAACCGTCATAACTTTGGAGTCAATCATCGTCAAAAAAAGAAAAAAGTATTTGGATATTTTCATTTAATATGTCATTATTATCTTACTCTTTTCTTTGCTATTTTTCTTAGATTTTAAATTTCTCTTTATTTGTCAATTTTTTGGTAAGTAAAAAATATTATTTTAAGAAAAATACAACAAATTTAATCCAATAATTTAATAATTTTTATCGTAATTAAATAATAACTAAGAGTGCCCGAAAAATTTACATTATCGATATCAAAAATCATTATCATCATAATCATGTTATTTATTATTAATATTATTCAATACCGATTAATCACAAATATGCAATATTTGTTGATTGACTATTATATATATTAAACATTAAATAAGGCTACAATACTTATATATTTTTTTTTATCCTTTGTTTTTATCTATATTTGTTTAATTTTATGATTATTTATAATTAATCAAATAAAAATTTCTACCTGGACAATACTAATTTAAGAGATTTAAGTTCTCAGGAATGATAATTATTCTCTGAACAACGTGTATGTTTATTGATTTTAATTAATTTATGTTATAAAACGATATATTGTGTAATGTTTGAAGCTTCTACTGTAGCCTTTTAATGTAAAAAAAATCATTTGAAACAAAGTAAAGTCTAAAACACAGTTACTTTATTTTGCCTCATCATGAACCACATTATAAACGTCAATTATATATATGATAATCATCTATATTATAATTTTCCGATGTATCGATACGTATTTATTTTTGTAGTAATAGTCTGTTTTATAAAACGAAAAAATATTTTGAGAAGAAATACCTTACTGTTATGGTGAGCAGGGAATCATGAAACACAGATAAACGCAAAAATTATTTATTAAAATTTATCTAAAAATATATCTGGAAATACAATATAATTTTTCTCTTTTATATAGTTTGTAATATCTATTTATATAAAAAAATCTATTAAATAATTTATATCAAACTATTGAGTCAATATCATAAAATAAGTCCGTGAGGTTAATATTAAAGAATAAAAAAAATAAATCTTTAAGGATAATATTGAGTTAATAGAAAATCGTGATACGTGATAAAAGCGTTTTTGCCCTCTGGTTGTGGATACAACAGAGCTACGCTAGGTTTTCCTCAAAAATTCTTCAAATTGGATAGTTAATTAAGGGGAGAAAATGAGGAGCCCTTCACACGTTTGTGGGCAAGTCGCACGCACTTGTATGCGCAACAGTCCGAGATAGGCTAATAAACAAAAAGAATTGGGTAAAAACAAAAGCCAATACCCAAGAACTGCAAAAATAATTCAATTACTTTAAGGGTGGGTGGTGGCTAATTATAAGTTTAACATCTTTAATGTAAGAGTTAATAATTACTATCAATAATTGAGAATGTGTTCATATCAATTGAATTTCGAATTTATCCATAAAAAATAAGAAAAAGCTAATCGGTTTACCGCAAATTGTTTAAATAGATTAAAAATCCAGTGAATAGACAAAAATTAGTCAGTAATAAGTTTAGGACTATCCAGCCACGAACACAACACAACGAAGGTTATTTTTCCAGAAAAACAAAAACTCTACAAAGTGATAGACAGATTATATAGCAAAAAAGGACCATGACTAAAATACGAATTGCTAAAAACTACTAATCGCCAGGAAAATTGCGAATTGCTATAACTAAACTACGAATTGCCGTATATATTGATAAATTATGATAAAATGCTATAAAATAGGATAATTAAACTACGAATTGTCGTATTTAATGTTAAAATAAAGTGACTAAACTACGAATCGCCGAATTTATTATTAAAATAAAGTGACTAAACTACGAATTGCCGTAATAAATGTTAAAATAAAGTGACTGAACTACGAATTGCCGTATATAATCTTAAATTTAAACTACGAATTGCCGTATTTAATGTTAAAATAAAGTGACTAAACTACGAATTGCCGTATTTAATGTTAAAATAAAGTGACTAAACAACGAATTGCCTAATTTAATAATAAAATAAAGTGACTAAACTACTAATTGCCGTATATAATGTTAAATTATAATGACTAAACTACGAATTGCGGTAAATAATGTTAAATTAAAATGGCTAAGTAACGAATTATAATATAAAATTTAAACTACGAATTGCTGTATTTAATGTTAAAATAAAGTGACTAAACTCCGAATTGCCGTATTTAATGTTTAAATAAAGTGACTAAACTACGAATTGCGTATATAATGTTAAATTTAAACTACTAATTGCTGTATTTAATGTTAAAATAAAGTGACTAAACTACGAATTGCTGTATATAATGTTAAATTTAAACTACGAATTGCTGTATTTAATGTTAAAATAAAGTGACCAAACTACGAATTGGCCTATATAATCTTAAATTTAAACTACGAATTGCCGTATTTAACGTTAAGATAAAGTGACTAAACTACGAATTGCCGTATTTAATATTAAAATAAAGTGACTAAACTACGAATTGCCGTATATAATGTTAAATTATAATCACTAAACTACGAATTGCGGTAATTAATGTTATTAAAATGACTAAACTACGAATTGCTGTATTTAATGTTAAATTAGAATGACTAAACTACGAATTGCCGTATTTAATGTTAAAATAAAGTGACTAAACTACGAATTGCTGAAAATAATCTTAAATTTAAACTACGAATTGTCGTATTTAAGGTTAAGATAAAGTGACTAAACTACGAATGTGCCCTATTTAATGTTAAAATAAAGTGACTAAACTACGAATTGCCGTATATAATGTTAAATTATAATGACTAAACTACGAATTGCGGTAAATAATGTTAAATTAAAATGACTAAACTACGAATTGCGGTATATAATGTTAAATTTAAACTACGATAAACTACGAATTGCCGTATTTAATGTTAAAATAAAGTGACTAAACTACGAATTGCTGGAAATAATCTTAAATTTAAAACGAATTGTCGTATTTAAGGTTAAAATAAAGTGACTAAACTACGAATTGCCGTATATAATGTTAAATTTAAACTACGAATTGCCTATTGTTAAAATAAAGTTACTAAACTACGAATTGCCCTATATAATCTTAAATGTTAAACTACGAATTGCTGTATTTAATGTTAAAATAAAGTTACTAAACTACGAATTGCCGTATATAATGTTAAATTATAATGACTAAACTACGAATTGCGGTAAATAATGTTATTAAAATGACTCAACTACGAATTGCCGTATAAAATGTTCAATTTATACGAATTGCCGTATTTAATGATAAAATAAAGTGACTAAACTACGAATTGCTGTATATAATGTTATTTTAAAATGATTAAACTACGAATTGGGGTAATTAATGTTAAATTATAATGACTAAATTGTGAATTGCCGTATAAAATATTAAATTTTAATGACTAAACTACGAATTGCGATAAATAATGTTAAATTAAAATGGCTAAACTACGAAATATAATGTTAAATCTAAACTACGAATTGTCGTATTTAATGTTAAAATAAAGTGAACTACGAATTGCCGTATATAATGTTAAATTATAATGTCTAAACTACTAATTGCGGTAAATAATGTTTAAAATGACTAAACTAAGAATTGCCGTATATAATATTAAATTATAATGACTAAACTACGAATTGCTGTAAATAATGTTAAATTATAATTACTAAATTGCAAATTGCCGTATAAAATATTAAATTTTAATGACTAAACTACGAATTTCTGTAAATAATGTTAAATTAAAATGGCTAAACTACGAATTATAATGTTAAATTTAAACTACGAATTGTCGTATTTAAACTAGGAATTGCCGTATATAATGTTAAATTATAATGACTAAACTACGAATTGCAGTAAATAATGTTTAAAATGATAAAACTACGAATTGCTGTATATAATGTTATTTTAAAATGATTAACCTACGAATTGGGGTAATTAATGTTAAATTATAATGACTAAATTGCGAATTGCTGTATAAAATATTAAATTTTAATGACTAAACTACGAATTTCTGTAAATAATATTAAATTAAAATTGCTAAACTACGAATTATAATGTTAAATTTAAACTACGAATTGCCGTATTTAATGTTAAAATAAAGTGTACTACGAATTGCCGTATATTATGTTAAATTATAATGACTAACCTACGAATTGCCGTATAAAATGTTCAATTAAAACTACGAATTGAAATATTTAATGATAAAATAAAGTGACTAAACTACGAATTGCCATATATAATGTTATTTTAAAATGATTAAAATACGAATTGGGGTAATTAATGTTAAATTATAATGACTAAATTGCAAATTGCCGTATAAAATATTAATTTTTATGACTAAACTACGAATTGTGATAAATAATGTTAAATTAAAATGGCTAAACTACGAATTATAATGTTAAATTTAAACTACGAATTGCCGTATATAATGTTATTTTAAAATGATTAAACTACGTATTCGGTAATTAATGTTAAATTATAATGACTAAATTGCGAATTGCCGTATAAAATATTAAATTATAATGACTAAACTACGAATTGCGATAAATAATGTTAAATTAAAATGGCTAAACTACGAATTATAATGTTAAATTTAAACTACGAATTGTCGTATTTAATGTTAAAATAAAGTGGCTAAACTACGAATTGCCGTATATAATGTTAAATTATAATGACTAAACTACGAATTGCGGTAAATAATGTTTAAAATGACTAAACTACGAATTGCTGTATATAATGTTATTTTAAAATGATTAACCTACGAATTGGGGTAAACTATCAATTGCTGTAATTAATGTTAAATTATAATTACTAAACTGCAAATTGCCGTATTTAATGTTAAAATTAAATGACTAAACTACGAGTTGCCGTATTTAATGTTAAAATAAAGTGACTAAACTACGAATTGCAGGAAAAATCTTAAATTTAAAACTAACAACCGTATTTAACGTTAAGATAAAGTGATTAAACTACGAATTGTT